ACTAGGGCGCACGCGCTTGGCGGCGCAGTCCTCTGGCCGGAAGCTCCTCCCAGCTCTCGCGTGATCTCAACGGCGGATTCTCGCGAGGATTGCTCGGGGAGTTCTGACAGAGGCTGCCAAGCGCGGGTCAGCGGAGGGAAGTGGCTGGCTGTTTCCGCTGTCGGCAGCTCCCTGCAGGTAGGAGATGGAGTGAGTGGGGAGGGGGGGAGCTCCAGGGGACGTTCCGCGCCCCGCGTGACGCGGGTTTTGGCCCAGTCTCTCCAGCCGGCCCGGGGGCAGCCGGATCAGACCTGGCCAGTCCCTGTTCGGCTGATCTCATCCCAGGCCGTTCGGCCAATGCCCATCGCGTTTCAGCCTGCAGACGTCGGCCAGCTCAGGACCTTTGCTTCATTTTGCCTTTCATAGGCCATTCAGGTAACTCGGGGTTTTTTAAAGGGCCGTACTGTTGTCATTTGGAGCTGGATAATTCTTCGTGGGCCCTGTCCTGTGAGGGGAGGGGATTAGTCCTCTCACAGGCAGCCTGATAGTTTGTAACAAAGCGCTTGGTAACATTGTCTCGAATAAGTTTCCATGTAACCTCAAAGGAGCAGCCCTAAGCTTGTCCTCTGGGCAGCTTGGAATAAGTCTGTCTAGCCCAGAGTTAAATACTTGGTACCCACGATCACTTGGTGCCCTTCGATCACAGCCATCTTTCCTGCTACAGATCTTTCTTGTCTCAGCCTTTATCAGCACCAGGTCCTGGCAGTCACTACCGGCTGTTTAGAACTGGCTCACCAGCGATAACCCATTTGCCATCCCTAGTCAAATCCCTTTTCCATTAGACAGCATACATTATATTTGAAGGTAAGATCCTGCTGTATCTCACTCCCCACCCCCAGAAAGGTCTTCCCCAGTTTAAACATCCTCCGTTCCTTCAGTAGCTCTTCTTTCCAGAGCATTCCTTACAACACACAGTTCAGGTTTATTGATCCTTTTAAAATGAGATTCCCAGAAGTAAGTATGTTCCCTGGAGATGTAATTAGTTAAAAGGACATGGTCTTAATGCATCCTAAAATTGGCATTAGCTTTTTGGATTACTGTATCAGACTACTGCCCCTAATTGAGCTTGTTGCAATAAATGTAAACTTTTGGGTCCTTGTAGATGAACTGCTCTTAACCTAGGTTTCTCTCCTATTTTACAGTTATTTATTTGGTTTTTGTTTGGTTTTTTAAGTACAGGATTTTTTTTTTTTTTGCACTCTCTTAAATTCTGTCATTTCACTTCAATTCTCTTAACCTGGAGGGGGTTTTTGAATCCTTAGTGTTGCCTTCCAGTTTATTAGCTGCCTGAGCATGTTATCCTTGAATGTGATAAATTGTCCCACTCTTAAGCATTCAAAATGTTGAGCTGGACTAGGTTAAGGTCACGCTCAGCGGTTCCCTAAAGACCCCATGCTGTCAACTGACTTGTATAACTTTTAAGTTCTTGGGGCATTGACATTCAAGTCAGGTAGGCGTGGTCCCTCACTCAACAAAACGAGTGTTTTAATCTATTCCAAAAGTACCCAGTTACAGAAGATAAGCCTTTGTTTCTGGAAATATTAACACTTACCTATCTCAGATGGTTTGACTCTTTTGTTCCTGAGATTTCCCATGTCACTGATTAGTATACAATCACATTTGTTAATTGAAGATATAAATTTGCTAAGACTTGAAGGCCTGTATTTATTGAGATGTCTTTTTTTTTTTTTAATATACCTGTCTTGAGGTTCACAGCCCACCTAATTTTGTCATACTTCCTATTAGAAAAATCATGCTCTCTGAGAAAACTGAAGTTTAGCAGATCTGCATCCTCTTATGTACCAGTGACCTTTCTCCCCTTTTTCTTGGGTTGTAGTCTAAGAAGGCTTTTAACTTATTTCACACATTTCCATTCATTTTGTGCTTTTGCCCTTTTCATGCCAGCCTCACAGAGATGTGGTCTCATTTTTGTGTTCATTACTAGTTAGTGCCCTATTTCTTACATCATGTACCTGCCCTCTTTCAGTTCAAGGTAGTCCAGAGCTCCTGTATCACCCGTTGATTTCTTTAGTGGTCGCTCGCCTTCTCTCTCAAGCAGCTCAAATCACCTAGCCATCAGGGACAGCAGCTGTTTTCATCCCAGGTGAGAGTCCTGGCTCCCCTCCCTTCAGTCAACAACTCCAGTCTCTTCTTGTGGAGTTTCTTCATAAGCGCCTAAACTGCAACTTCTCACAAAGGTGCTGTCAATCGTTTGCTCACAGACTTCATCAGTCAGGCCTCAGAGACCGTGAGGGCCTCAGCACTAGAACCTTCAGAAGGTTCTTTTCTGTGTTGAGGCTAATCCCAGCATGCCTCTCATTCCTGTGTTCCAGCTGCACCCGACCCTGTCCCAGCTGTTGCCCCCCCTCCTCGCAGTTCCATTCCCCAAGCATGGAGCACTGATTCTGTACCGGGCTCTGTGGTAAGCCTTAGGGAGGCATGCTGGGGAAGAAAAACGATTACCTGCAAGTAGCGTCCCCCTTCCCCTCCTTTCGGCCTTCTACAGTGCTCTGAAACTTGTCCTGTGGTAAGTGCACTCCTCTTGTCCTCAGTCTGCCTCCAGAACGCACCTACCTTCTGTGAGCACTCTGTTTCCTTTTTTCTCATTCCTGCTTTTTCAGCTCTGACGTGTGTGTTGTCTGCTGCTCTAACAAAGTTGAGGGGCTTAAACAACACAAATGTATTACCTTACACGTCTGTGGCATAGACATTGTCACGGGTCTCACTGGGCCGGAATCCAGGTACCAGCAGGGCTGTGTTCCCTTCTGGAGGTTGTCAGAAAGAATCAGTTTCTTTGTACTTTCCAGCTTCTAGAGGCCGCTTGGCTTCTGGTCCTTTCTTCCCTTTCCAACACTGGCGGTGCTGCATCTCCGTGACGCCCCCACCCTCTTCTGCCGGTTGCACTTCCTTCTGACCTTTCTTTTGGGCCTCTCTCTTCCACTTTTAAAGACCTTTGTAATTATATCGGGCACACCTGGCTAGCCCAGGCTCCTCTCCCTGTCGTAAGGTCAGCTGGTGAGAAACCTCAGTTCCATCTGCTGCTTTAATTCCCCTCAGCCAGGAAATTAACATTCACAGGTTTTCGAGATCAGGATGTGGACAGGGCGGGGCGTGCAATTCTGGCTACCACCACATGTTCAAAATTGACGTGTTCATTTCATCCCTCTTTTTTCCCTTATTTCCTTTCTTGGTGAATAGACTCATCTTGATATTCTGCTTGATCACCTCAGTCAGGCATTTGGAAGCATCCTTGATTCTTCCCTCTTCCTCAGCTCCCCAGTTTAATCCATTGCCAAGTTCCGTGTAGCTATCTCCTCCACACCTGGAGACCTAGTCTTCTTAGGAGATGCTTGAAGGACCCCTATTTTAGGTGATGGGGAAATTGAGCAGACACACACACATGCTCAGGCTCACACAAACACCAGAGGTTGCTTCATTTGCATCACAGACCGGAGTACTAAGTAACACTGGCTTTGTGGATACAGGGAAGGTAGAAGAGGTTGCAGAACTTAAAAAGTTTCAAATCACTGTTACAGAGCCAATACAGTAGCCACTGTCCAATACAGTACTCTCCAATACAGTAGCCACTAAGCACATCTGGCTATTTAAA